CTTTGAAGAACTTTTCTTATATATGTTATCAGAATTTAAGAGAAAATAATGTTTTATCAATTTGAAATAATACTCAAGCTAAAATCTATTACTAAAACTATTTTAATCAATGTTTGCAGGTTTCATATTGCTTGAATTTTCAAATGATATTTGTTTTAACAACAATTGATTTTAACAAAAGCATTATATGACTTGAAAGCTGACAGACACTTTGTTTCTTTTCTTAAAGTCAATTAAATTGAACAGCAAATCTAGTTGAAAGAAAACATTGACAAAATTGAATTAACTATAAAAATGGCAAGTCTCCTGAAATTAATATAATGGAGGCTCACAGAGTAGCAAACAAGCAAAAGCACAGCGGTTATTATATTCATACAAATCATGGTGTAGAATTGTGTTCAGTTTCCTAATTCAAATTATGTTCCATTTTCTATTCCTTATTTATGCCCACTTCTGAATAGAGACAATAAAGTAAATCACAAGTATAGGCTAAGTTTATTTTACCAGTGATGTTTGGCAAACAATTGCTTTAGAGATCATTGTGGCTGATCAGTTTAATTAGATGTCAGAATCAATGAACCATGGGTAAATAAGGTGAATTGCAATCATGAGCGTCTGACCCTTTTTCCAAGGCAAAGACACACTGAATTTGGGTGTTCGTTGTTTTAGCTTTCTGTGATTTAAGAGTACACTGAGAGGGCCTGTTCTTCTCTGTTTAAAACCTACAGTTCTGCAGCACCAACAGATTGTAAATGACATCTGATGCTTTTACAGATTTAGCTCTGAATTATTGGGTGTATAATCCAAGCCCATTTGGAAGTTTCCCTTATAGAACCCATCAGGGCTAAGTGCTATCCAGATATTTGCCAGCATGATGGAACTGGGATTGTACAAAGAAGTTCGAACCTAGAATTATAATGGATGGACTCTAGCTACAACTTATCTGATATAAGCACACAGTTCCAGATAGCAGCAGGTCAGTAAGTCAGGCTGATTAATGAGTGTGAGCAGCTCAGAAGCAGTGGCAGTTCAGAGACAATAAATCTTACAGTATAACCAAGATCTAGCCAGCTCTTTTGAAGAAGACAAGGAGGCAAATATGTGGTACACTGAGCACAACTGTGAAAAATATAACTATGTAAACTTGTCTGGACAGACAAGTTGGAACAAGTCTGTATACACACCACATAGAAAATACCTAAGACTCCTACAAGAAATTAGTCAAAACATCAAATCAGAACTTGGAACACAGCAACTTTTCATTTCAGAAAAGACAATTTAGTTAATAAATAAGATTTTCAAATTTTAAATGTATTTTATCAAAATATGGGTGCACCAAAGACAAATATAAGGATTTTACAAAAAAAAAAAATAGTATCCTTTAACTTGATTTTAAAAGTCCAGAATTTCCTTGGATGAATTAAAAAGAATTTTTTTTTATTTTTCTAAAATTTTTTAAAATAAATTTTATTTTTATATTCCCCATACAATTGCAATCCCCTTATTTTGACCCCAATCCCTCCCCTCCCCCACCCCCCATAGAGTGTCTCTTGTTCATAGTTGTTTGTTGATTTTGATATTTTCTTATAGTTATTCATTTTCCTGGTCCCTTATTTAAGTTTTCTAGATTCCTGCTATGAGTGAGACCATGCGGTATTTTTCTCTTTCTTTCTGGGTTATTTCGCTGAGCATGATCCCTTCCAGCACCATCCATGTTGCTGCGAATTGCATGTGTTTCTTTTTTGATTGCTGAGTAATATTCCATGGTGTATATGTACCACATCTTCTTGATCCAGTCATCTATTTTTGGGCATTTGGGTTGTTTCCAAAGCTTAGCTATTGTAAACAGTGCTGCTATAAACATAGGGGTGCAGTTGTTCTTTGGAATTGATGTTTCTGTGTCCTTTGGGTAAATACCTAGGAGTGGAATTGCTGGATCATATGGAAGCTCTATGTTTAGTAGGTCCAGAAATCTCCACACAGCTCTCCATAGTGGTTGGACCAGTTTGCACTCCCACCAACAGTGCAGGAGAGTTCCAAAAAGAATATTTTTTAAAAGAGGTATTTCTATTTTAAAATGCCAAAACTGGGCCTCCCGGGTGGCGCAGCGGTTGAGCACTGGGTTGCAAAGCTGCCCGCAGCCTGCGCGACGCCGGTTCGATCCCCAGCTGCTCCCTGGCCACTGGAGGAGGGTCCCACATGGCGCGCAGACCTCTCCTGCCACCCGCTGCTCCCCTCAGCAGTGTACTTTGGTCCTTCTGCCTGCTCTGCTCCCTGCTCTGGCTCTGGTGAATTCTCTCACCCTCCCGCACTTCTGACTGTACCCAGTGCTTGAATAAATAAATAAATAAATCTTTTTAAAAAAAATAAATAAAATAAAATGCCAAAACTTAAAGACAGATTATATCCTTAGGCGACATCAGTTATCCCTCTTTTAATCCTGAGAGTGGAAAAATTTTCTGGAGATGAAAATATTTTCTGAAACATGACTTCTATCTAATGGTCAATTAAGTGTGTGCATGTGCACACACACACCATTATTAATTACTTTTTTGTAAGTTCTCCAAAATGTATGACGATCCATTTGGACAAAGATTTTATCATCAGTTTTTTATTACATTCTGTACAGGGTTTATAAATTTCAGTTAGCTTCCTAAATATTGAAATCAAAAGATGCCAATATTTGGAGGAATATAACTTAGTTGACAGGCCAGAAACCAATATTCAGCAGTAAGCTGAAACACTTGGAGATGGTGCAATAAGCCTCGATGTCTGGGAAACTTGGAAAGCAGCAATACAGGGAGTCTTGGTTTTTGCTGGGTCTCTAGTCTACTCCCCCTCTGCTAACATAATGATGTGCCATGAGCTTGTTTGGAGCAGTAGATGAGAGATTTTTGAAGTCTCCCTTCAGATATGGTGAGTAAATAGGAAAAATGAAAAAGCTAATGCTTTTTAAAAAATCTAAAATGTTTATTCTTTTTTCAAAGCTGAAACAGCTGAAAAATACCTATGGAAAGCTCAGCCAGCCCTGAAGTCTTTTCGTAGTGTCCTAAGGAAGATTTATCAAAGTAAATGGATGAAAGCAGTACTGACTTACAGAGTATATAATCCTAAAATATCCTTGCAAACTTTAACATCTACACAGATGATAAAATGGTCACTATTTATGGAGTGTTTCTTATCTACCCGGGACTTTAAGGACATGGTCTCATATAATCTTTTCAACAACCCTTGGAGATAGGATCCTTGTCTTATAGATATAGAAGTAAAGAGAATTTCCTACTTGCCCGAGATTACATAGCTGGTGAGAGATGGGACCCACTTTAAGCCTAGAGCAATCTGATTTCAAAAAATGTTCTTTCTACAACAATGTACCATCTACCAAGAGGTTCTCTAGAAAAGTTTGCTTTTGATAAGGGAAATGTGCTGTTGGAAGCAACATTTCCAACTAAATGTTCCTAAAGCACTTAGGACTGATATTTTAAAATCAAAACAGAGAGAAATTATTTCTGTACTTTTATAGCGATCATTCCTTTTCACCTTTAAAATAATTAGGAGACACAGGGGCAGTCAAACAAAAAAGAGAAAAAAGCTCTTTTGCTGGCCTCAATGAAGTTCAGACCCAAGGGCCACAAGGAGCATTCTGATGTGGTAGACGTAGGTGCCACAGGACTCAGAGGTGACTGAGTGCCTTGCAGGATGGACTAATCACTGCAAAAAGCAGATTAAAGGCTATTCAGTGAGCCAGAAGGTAGGGTTTCATGACCAAAAAAATTTACATCTGAAGTATACACAATGGACAAAATAAGTAAAATAGAGGGAAAGAGGAAGCATGATGTGAGGTTAATAACCTTAACTTGGGATGGCCCCAAAAAGAAAAGTTAAATAGAACGTAGATGACAGTAGGGAAGATAGTGCTGGTAGCCGACACCTGAGGAAACTGTGGTTTTACAATTGGATTTCATTAACTGAAAGCAATAAAATGAGGCAGTAAAATAAATGCTTTAAGAAGAAAGGATAAAATAGAAAAGGGTAAATCTTAAAATCCTAGTAATACACCAATATTGAGTGTATGGTATGTGCATAAGGCATATAGGTGTGCATGGAGTTATGCGCGTGGTAACTGAACTCTACAAATGTGTAACTTCTATTATTCTTTAATGGTGTCAGTTCTACAATATGTCATCTGTAAAGTCTCATATCTGTTAGAAATATAAATGCTCGTCCTCTATTGATTTGGTGGGGGGGAGCATGAGTTAAATCTTTCAGATTTATAGTTTAATGTTAACATTTGTTTTGACTACTAATATAAATTCGATCAATATTACTACTGCAAAGCTTGGTAACTTTAAAATTCATCTTGGTACATATGCACAAAAGTTGCAAGTCATAAAAATAGGAAAGCACTTCTAGAAAGAGAATGGGGAAAAAAAGGGAAAATCTTACATGAAATTTTCCTTGAACTACCCCTGCTCACAATTCTGGTTAAGTGTCATTGCAAAAGAGTATACGTTACCTGTTCTCTCTTAAGATGAAATCAATTTCAAAAAAGGCAAAGAAATTAAAAATGTGTAAGCCTATAAACACAAAAACAATGGGAGAAGTAGTAAGGTAAAAGCTGAATACCTTTTATAAATTTAAGAGACTGGTGGTAATTGATTTAATGGGTTAAAGAAAACTGCAGTTTAAGTGCCAGAAGAGAAGAAATAGGATTCATTCAAAGAATCTCAGAAAGTTTCATAACTTGGAGTTACCTGGTAAAACAAAAAAGATGAGGTTAAATTGGAGAGTTGGTTGGCTTCATATGCAAAGAAGCATACACTCAGGTCTCCAGGCAAGAGGACAGGGATTCCATCTTTGAAGAAACTGAACACAAGAGGCCCCAGCAGACCACTGGAGGCCATGATGAATTGGGTGAAGCATATGACAAAAATTGAGAAATTAAGCGATGATATACATTTTGAATGATGGAAGTTTTGCCCTTTTTGTTTTGCTCTCAGAGAATATAAACACCAAAATCCTGAAGCTCAGTGATATCCAACAAAAACGATCATTCTAGGAAGGAATATCCTTTTCAACAATCCACTCGCATCCTGGACTTCAATCATCTAGAGCATCACACTTATGAATGGGGAGCCTGGAATGAACAGGCACGTGAGATAAATCTGTAACACAACAAGAACAAAAATTCATCAAAAGATGAAAAGAACCCAGTAGGAAGAGAGATATTGCATAAACAGAAGGTTTTATAAATAAACTGTTTCTGTTATCTTTAAAGATACATGAAGCCCTACAAGAAAAAGATATGAAGGAGAGAAATCATCTCTCAGTAATGCACAGAGGTGATAAAGTTATAAGCAAAACTTAAGAAATGAAACTTAAGAGAGAAAAGTGGTTGTTTATTGAGAGCATTGGGGAGAAGGAAGATGGAGTTAAGTGTCATGGTTGGGAGGGGACATATTGGGGACAGCTGAAATGTGCCAGTGCTTAATTTCTTCACCCTTGTGGTTGTTGGGTAGTATGGGCTTTATTAATACTTGTTAATCCATGCATTTAAATATCACACACCTCACTATATCATATGTCATACAAATGCACAGACACACATGAGAAAGAGCAAAAAGAACAATTAAAGGGCTCTTGGAAAATATGATTGTGACAATGCATCTGGTCACCTTCGAAAAGGGAAAGCGTTGGAAAGAGGAAGCTGAGAAATCTGGAAATTAAGGGTAAAAAAGGGAAGGGAGGGTGTATTTGAAATTTGAAGATGATATAAAGATAGCAGCATTTCTCCGAAGTAACCCATAGAATTAGAAACAGAAAGGAAAATGCATTTTAATTATACACAGCAGTGTGGTTAAAAAAAATAATAAAAACCAAAACACAAAATAGCAGGGAGGACTCCAAGCACAGTGCAAACTGAGCAGGGCTGCTTGTGGGACCAAGCAGAGTTGACATTAGGGCCACAGAGACCAGAAAGTCCAACAAATAATAGTTTTACAATGTCAGGAACCCATTCCAAAGGGCAAAATGGAAATTCCTTTCTTTTTTTATTGATGTTTAAATGAGTATATTTGTTTTTTTTTAATTTATATATATTTACATCATTGTTCAGTTTTAAACAATGTTTACTTTTGTTCCCCCCTCAGGTATAGTGAGTCCCCATGGAATTTCCTTCCCCAGTGCACCTATGCACCATCACCTCAGTCCTCTGTGCCTCTCCCTCTCTCCCTCCCTCCAATCCCTCCCCCCTCCTCCTCTCCTGCAGGATGTCTCTGGTTTATAACTGTCTGTTTATTTTTGTTGTGTTGTGTTTTTTATTGGTATTATTTTTCCCCATCATGTCGTATTTGGTTCCCCTGTATTCCTCCTAGAAGTGAAACTATTGGATATTTTTCCTTTCTTGAAACAATGGAATAGTAGGTGTGGGTGGACTAGCTACTAATCTTCCCTGCTGCTGGCTTAGAGTCTAGAAACAGAGGTAGGGCTGGCTAAACATGGACCACTTCACACATGCAATACCTGGTGGACATCGTTTTCCTGAGGCAACAGGGGAACTGACAGACTCCCCTGCAGCCTCATGCCCAAACACCCCCCACCAGACCCCCGGGCTGGAGTAGCTGCTGCAATAAGACTCAATTCTGCAGGTCTTGCACATCTGCATCGTGGCTCTAGCCCACCTTCGACTTACATAATGCTATATGTTCATTAGAGCCCTCTTAAAAACAAAAAACAGACAGTAAAAATAAATCATGGCTCTAATCTCTGTGAAGTGCCTTCCACACTAATGCATGCACTGATCCTATTAAAATGAAACCATTCCAAAAGGAATAATCAGATTTAATTATAAATGATTTACTTTCTTTAAGTGTAAAAGAGGAGCAGAAAACAAGTAAAAGTTAAAAATGTTCACCAGGAAAGAAAAATATTGCCATTGAAAATTGCATTCAAATAGCTATCATTAATTAACCACCACAACAAAAATACAACATAATGAAATACCTTGCTGAGCTAACAAAGGTAAAAGGATAAAATAAGTAAGCACAAGAAAAGACATTAAGAAAGCAGAAAATAATAAAACCTGAGAGAACTTAGGGAAGTGAAGAAGCATTAAATAATCTCAAAAATAATGGCAAGCAGTAGCATTAGGGGCCTCCCTGGTGGCACAAGGGGTTAAGATGCAGCACTATGAAGCTATCCACATGAGTTCGATCCCCACCCAGGGAGCTACCCACATGGTGCAGCAGACCTCTCCTCTCTCACCCGCTGCTCCCCTCAGCAGTGTATTTCAGTCAGTCTGCTTGTTCTGTTCCCCAACCTGTCTCTGGTGAATCCTCTCACTCCCCACATCTCTGGCCTGTACCCCAGTTCTTGTATGCATAAATAAATAAATCTTTAAAAACAGTAGCATTAAGGGAAAATAGTTGGGTCACAGAAGGATTTTCTTATAGGAGGCAGTCTCAGGCCCCTTGTACTGCAACAGACTGAACGTCAAGAAGAGATCACCAAAGAGGAGGCAATTTTAATGTTTTGCTCCCTGTTCCCCATTGCAGAACTTACTAGCATGTGCAAGACTGAGTATGTGACATTGACTCCTAGGAACTCGTTCCTTCTGGTTGCTTTAGGAGGAAACCTTCGCTGTTGTTTCTTGGTCAGAGATTATGTAGCTACCTTTTAGGGTTGTTGGAAACATTATGCAATAAAATATATGTTGATTATTTTTTTTCATACCCAAATGAACCTTTTCATATAGAGCCTAAAATGAAATAATGCAATACAATATATGAAACTGGATTCTGCAATCAACAATTTTAGTAACTGAATGTGATCCCTGTCAATAAATGATTATTTTATGCATTTCCTGCACTTGCAATTGAGAAGTCTAAATATCATATCCACTATGGCATAATCAAACTAATAATTTCAACTTGTTTTATATGGGAATTATGTGTGTAAGTATTAAGGAATACAAATAATTTTATTTATAGTCACCCACATATTTAGACAAAATCTCTGGGTATTAAAGTTATAAAGCATTCAGTCTGTTTTTTAGGCATAGTCACTAACTTTCTTTTTAAATTTAAAATGCTGCCAAAATTCTGGTTACTTGACACTTGAATTTTTCAACTTATATGTTTGACCCAGTAAAATGGTAATAGTTTTATAACAGAGAATACCGAGATAGTGTGTACCTATTTCTTATTTGTTGTTATATATATCTTTAAGGTGTCAGTGATAGATTAATTTATTTCCAAGATATTATGGAGAAAATATTAGATCAATTTAAGATGTCATTGTTATTACTGTGTAGGTTCACGAAACTGACCATTTCAAGGTTTCTGAATGATACTCTCATTCAAACTGGAGATTCTTTCTTATGGGCACACTCCATTTCTGTTCTTGGCCTATAGTTTTCTGTTAAATGCCAATCTTTTTCTGTTGAGGGGAAGGATGTGATTAAAGAGCTCTTGTCTCCATATCAGAAACTGGTCCTGACCCCTGCAGCAGCACATTGAAGTTTTTTATAAATAATTTATGAACCTCAGAGGTCTGGCTTTGGGAGATATTCAACATTTCTCCATCTGTGCACCACACCTCATTCATCAAAACTGAGACCAGCATATGCAGTTCTGCTTCAAGATGGGTAGAACTATATATAAAATAAACAAAAAATAAATAAGCCTACCAGTATAACTCAGGGGCTGCCCAGAGACTACTTGCAGTAATTCCAGGAGCAATCTATTTTGACCATGAACCTTGACCAGCTATATCACAGAAAAGAAAGGTGGAGCTACCTTGTTATAAATGATAAATACTCCTATGAAAAGAAAAATTGAAGACTGTTTTTGGATGCTGGCAAAAGTGCCTAAGAACTTTAATTGTGAGCATGCAGTCCCAATGACTGCTTTACAAATTGCAGCTTTACCTAATGTCCTATGTGTCTTCATGGTTGCATGAGACTTGTCAGTCAATTTCTCTTCTCACAACCTGTCTCAAAGGAAAATTCTATTGCTCATATACTGAATTTGCTTTCTAAATTATATGGAATTTAAAAGAATTTTCCACCAGATATATTAAGCATAACCAAGATTTTTAATAGAATATAGATATCAAGCATGCACCATTTGTTAATATTGTGCTTTATTTACAGTTATCCCTAGTATCTCATTTATATCATTTTGCTATTCATATAAAAAGTTAAGTGATAACACAGTTTAATCTTCTCTACAGTTTGAAGAGGATGCTCTTATGAGCTACTTATTAAATTTCTTCATTAAATTGTCTTTAAAATAATAAATAATACCTCTTAATTTAACATTTTTTACCAAAGGGCAAAATAACATGTATTGATATTCAAAAATTAATTTTATCTTAAACCTGTGAAAATAATTTTCATTGATGAAAAATAAGTGATTTTATTGTAACTATGTACTAAAATCATAAATCCCTTATCATATATAATAATCATATATATTTATGAAAACATACTTTTTCCAAAAGTATTTTGAGAATGTGAGGCATTTAATATTTTTTCCAAATCAATATTAGCTTTTATAATTGTAAGGTTATCAGAAATGCATATCTATTTATAGCTTTGCTATTATGTGTTCAACTTTTTTGAGAGGCAATTGTAGGATAAATAAAAATGTAAGATACAATTCATATCTTTTGGATATTCACAGTTTTTTAAGAAGCAGGTTACAAACTGTAATGTGATAAGACAACAAAATGAAAGTATGGGTAAAATTCCACAAAACCACTCAGTAGGGAGTGATTGATTCTGATTGAAGTTTAGGGAAGTCACTTAAAAATAATTGATATAGGGCCTCCCCGGTGGCGCAGCGGTTGAGCGCTGGGTTGCGAAGCTGCCCGCGGCCTCTGCGGCGCCGGTTCGATCCCCGGCTGCTCCCGGCCACCGGCGGAGGATCCCACATGGTGCGCAGACCTCTCCTGCCACCCGCTGCTCCCCTCAGCAGTGTACTTCGGTCCTTCTGCCTGCTCTGCTCCCGCTCTGGCTCTGGTGAATTCTCTCACCCTCCCGTGCTTCTGACTGTACCCAGTGCATGTATAAACAAAACAAACAAACAAACAAAATAAATAAATAAATAAAACATGCCTCTATAAAATAAAATAAAAAAAAAAATAATTGATATATTTACAATAGCTAAGCTATGGAAACAACACAAATGCCCAAAAATAGATGACTGGATCAAGAA